TATTGGACCTTTAAAGAGTATTTTTAGGAAGTTTCAGCTGAATCCAAGTTTGAGCGATTTTCGTCGTAGTAGCACTTTAAAAGTTATTAACCAAAACATCTTAGAAAAGTTTTGTTACATTTCATTTTTAAGTATGAAATTAAAATTTATGATTGAATGTCTTGGAAATGATAAAAGATGTTAAAAATTTAGATATAACACCATGTCTATTAGAGTGGGTTGTGCCCACCTGGCAATATTATCTAAGTAATCAGCTTTTCTGTGTTGTGATTGGACAAGAAGTGGAAGCCATTCCACTGTTATATAATGTGCAACTGTGATGGGAAGCCATTCTTGTGTTCTAGTATGCTCATTGCAATTAATGGAAACCATTTCAGTGTTCAAGTATATCTTGTCCCAACTACTTGGAAGCCATTTTGGTGCTACTAATGTCCCACGGCAACTATAATGTGAAGCCCTTTTAGTCTTCTGTTTGTTCATTGCAATTAATGGAAACCATTTCGCCGCAACTACTTGGAAGCCATTTTGGTGCTATATAAGTTCCCACTACAAATATAATAGGAAGCCATTCTAACTAGTTGGAAGCCATTCCATTATGTGATAATCTTGCAACTTACGCGAAACCATTTCATTGTAGCATACTTGACTCAGGAAGCCACTTAAGCGCTTTGTTCCATTCTGTAATCCATGTCCATTGTTCTTTTTTGTTTGTTTGTATGTATGGGTAAAAAATATCATTTGTTTGATTCTTGTATTGATTGACATGTTAATACTTGAGCCATTTTGTAGAGAATGAATATTTGTACAAGTTCCTTAAGTTCCTCATTCACTAAACCAGTTTATGTGAGTTGTATATAATAGTGCTTGGTGATCTTAAACCTCTTCATTGGGGTCCTGCATGTTGTGTGGGATGGGACATCGCAAGTCTGGGCAGCCATCGAGCTCATCCTCTGTTGATTCACCTGAATCTGATTGTTCATCAGGGAGTAGAAGTTCCTCCTAAAATTATACAAGAAAGAAATGGATTTTTGATGCTAAATATGTTAATGCATTGTTGATGGTGAAGTTGATAGTGGTGATGATGATGTTGATGGGGGTGGTGATAGATGGTGACAATGGTGATGATGATAATGATAGTGATAAGGATGATGATAATGATGGTGATGATAATGGTGGTGATGCCGATGATGGTTATTCTTGTGATGGCGATGATGATGGTGATGTTGAATTAGTGATGGTGATGAAGATTATGGTATTTCACAACCATCACTCCCCATACGTGGCTCTTCCGTGAGGTTCCCTCCACATGCACTACCACTACATTCTATATTTAAAACATACACTGTACAACGCAACCTCAACTCACATGTTGATCTATACAGAGTGAGGAAAACCAGAGAACCCGGAGAATAATCCTTGTGGAAAGGGAGAGAACAACATATCAAACAACTTAAACTCAGCTCACATATGCAATTCAGAAAAGATTCAAAACATGAGAACCAAATTTAATTTCTATCCCATTCATCCACTTTCATTTTATTGTCTACCTTATCTCGTGTATATTTAAACGTCTTCAACCTGATTGGTTCGTCAGGGTTGCCATAGCGAATCAAACTGTGGAATAGAAACAATTAAAAAAATTACAAATTATTATCCTGTAAATATGAGCATAGGCACCTAAACGTCATGTACGAAGAAGGAAGCGAAAGTTCTTTCTAATAGACTGTATTTGACGAGGTGTAATATTTCACCATTTCAAACCACGTGTCATTTCCTATAGTATCATTTCGTTGTTTAGCAGTTGTACATAAGAAGACATGAAAATCAATACAACTCAAACAATCTTATTCCCAAGAGAATAACACGTCGTACACCAAGCTTTTCACTTTGTAAGTTGCTTAAGCACTTAAGAAGCTAGAGTCGCAGGAGGCATAACCGAGTGCGACTCTTACGCTTCCTTCATGCTTAGCAGCCTTCCGCGTGCGCCCAATTCTCTTATTTTCTAGGGAAAGACGTGCTCTGTTATGTGAAAACATCACAACAAGATGAATAAGGTGTTTTTAGCTATTTGATCATTTGTTTTCCCAGGAAGAAGAACAGTAGTGGCTAGCGCACACAATCACATGACACGAAGGGTGGGGCACTCACGTGGTTCTTGTCCAATAAGGTTTTTCCTCAAGTTCCCAGTCACAGAATAAGATCAGATAAAGAATAAACGTCTTGAGTGTGATGATGCCCACGTGCTGAGAAAAAAGAATTGAAGTTAGTCGATGATTATGTCGATGATATAATAGAATAGTGGTGGTGATGATGATGACATAATATTGGTGATGATGATGATGATGATGATAGAATAGTGGTGATGATGATAGAATAGTGATGATGATGATGATGATGACAATATTGGTGATGATGATGATGATGATGATAGAATAGTGGTGACGAAGATGATATAATAGAATAGTGGTGATGATGATGATGATAGAATAGTGGTGATGATGATGATGATGATATAATATCGGTGATGATGATGATGATAGAATAGTGGTGATGATGATGATGATGATAGAATAGTGGTGATGATGATGATGATGATGATGATGATAATGATGACATAATAGTGGTGCACGTGGTGGTGGTGATGATGATGATGATGATATAATAGTGGTGACGATGATGATATAATAGTGGTGATGATGATAATGATAACGTAATAGTGGTGCACGTGGTGATGATGATGATGATTACATAACAAGTGAACAACGTGTCAAAGAATGTCTATGATCAACGAATGCAAACTTCTTTTCTTTCAAACTACTTACAGCGCCTGCACACTTGTGATTGTTAGGAGTTGGGCTCTCGGACATCATGCCATGTGAACACAAAACTTTGGATTTCAAAGCCTGATGCATAAAACAACAAAAAGCAAATAATTGTAAGCATTTCAATAAGTCGCTATCAAGAGAAGTCATCTCTGGTCACGTGTGGAATTTTACCAGCTGAACTTATTTATAGAAATTTATAAAATACCTGTTATGAATCTCGCGTTCTGATTGGTTGGGAGAGCGTACTTTATGAGAACACAGCACACACGCCCGCACTTTCTATTTTGACATTCGTATTCAAAATAATGGTCACGCTAAATTTGTATTTTTATATATATAAAAAAAAAAAACGCTTGCTGTGCTGTATGTAGCTTTGGAGGACTTGGGGATCAGCACGAGAGAAGTGTTGAGATATATTACACCACACGACGTGCTTCTCCTAACACCTCTATTGTGTTTTGCCTACCACGCGTGCTCATAACTAGCGCGTGTTTTCTTTTTCTTCAGCAAATGGATGATTGCGCACGGGGACAGTGTTGGCCTATCAATCTGAAGGCTGGTAAATAGAGGATATTACATGGGTGCGCGGAGATACGAAAATTATCTTCGAGTGTTGAAAAGATCTCTCACGAGTGAGCGCAGCGAACGATAGAGAGATTTTCAACACAAGAAGATAAATTTCGTATCTCCAAGCGCCCATGTAATATTCTGTTTATTATATAATTATATAATATAATTATATGAGAATCATTCTGATGACTGATACCAGTAATTTAAAATGATACATTAAAAAGAGAAAAGTAGGATTAAGAGGGGAAATTAAAAAAAAAACCAAAAAAAACCGCGGGAAATGACAGCGAGAAAAATGGGAAATAAAGGACAGCGAAAAAATAGAAGAAAGGGAAATGAATGAAATGAGGAGGTAAATAAAAGAGAGAAAGGAAAGAAAGATAAACAATAACATGCAACGTACCGGATTTACTAGGAACCTCGTGTAGTCGAACTCGTCCACCCCTTTGCAACTTTCCACGATAAACTCACTAGGGTCTCTCTGTGCGATGTGGCAATTACCCAGCAATCTCTCGCCTTTTCGTATCCTGAACTTTCCAGAATTGGACTCGAGGACGAAACTTTTACTATACGACAATATGAGGCATTGGTTAGTCATTGTACGCGTGAATAGATTACTATTAATAGACGTCGCTTCCGATAATATCTGTGTTTTGATTAGAGGGCAACTAACATTTGTAAGCTTGGAGGACTTTCTTGATTTCTGGTTTCGTTCAGTAGAAGTAGTGTAATAGGATATACTTTGTGGAGTTATTTTGACATGTTTTGACTTAAGAGTCGATAGCTGCACATTGATTGCCCCCCAGTCAGCCTTAAAGAGTCATGTGTTTGATAGTAAGAAAGTGCAATGTGCTGTTTTTTTACTGAGAAAAATCTCACAGTCGAAAGCGCTCGCTCTGCAAAGAACGGTCGGTTGAGTAGTGTATAAAATGGAATGAATAGAATAAACACTCACCGTGCTTTAGCAAAGTAAAGAGCGACAGGAGGGTGAATTCGTAACACCTGTAATCATAATCAAATACAACCATTTACAATGATTTATAGGAATAGCAGGGGAAGGGGTGGGAAGGGGGTTGACAGAGGTAAACGTGAATAGAGCAGTATTCGTGTGACGGTGAATAATTTTATGTGGTCGTGCAATGGCCGTGACGATACTATGTCTGAGCATTCTGATTGGATGACCAGTGAATTCGTGCGACGTGATTGGCTTGATCATCAAATGTCATATCACAATATAAAATAATAATAATAATAATAATGATAATAATAATAATAATAATATCACTTCAATTTCGTCCAGTGAGGTATCACTATCATAAATATGAATGGCCTCTCGTGGGAAAGGTCCACAATCGGACATGCGCAATGAAGCCACTATGCAATTGCTCACAATCTCGTTCCCAAAGCCTATATTCCTTAGTGCGCATGCTCAAGATTGTCTCATAACCTAGAGCTCCTAGATTCCCAGTAAGTGGAGCTCTGGGTACGAGATTTGACGATACACTAAATCTTACCTCCATAGTAAAAGCGTCCAGTTTCTTCATCTTTTTTAGTGTTTTTAGGTTCAACCCTATCGTCCCCAGGTGTGTCTTGATCTCCTGTCGTAGCTCGTCTTTTTCTTTTTCACTCATTATTGATATACGAGCAGCCGCTGACCTCATAGCTGCGCCTGTTCCGGGTCCAGCGTTAAAACTATGAAGGAAAATAAGGATTTTTGTCATGATGAGACGCTCAATAAAGAATTTGACCCAACACAAAATCAAGAAAAGGATTCTGAGATCATGATTAATTTTTAGTATTTAGTCCGACAAGCGGCCCTCTGGCGTTGGGGAGATTGGGGCGAATGAATTTCCTCGCCTCAATCCCCCAACAGCAGAGTCCAATACGCAGGCTAGAGCTATTTTAAACATCTTCCCTCAAAATCTTACTTTAACATCCATAATATCTCAAGCACAGCTTCCTCCTCGCTCAATCCATATTTCGCCGCTGTCTTGTAGATACGGTCGATGTTTGGCGAGTTAGCAATGGACGCCTGTAGATGTTCAAAGGCTCCTAATGCAATTCTGTGTTTTCCTTTTGGTTGTCCTTTACAGTCTTTTCTAAGTATAGAAGCAGCTGAACTGTTATTTAACTGTTCAATAATCGGTTTGCAATCATTCGAAAGAGAAGGAATTATGAAATAGCTGCTATAAATCTCGCATTCTTATTGGTTGGGAGCGCGTGCTTTAAGTTATGAGAGCAAACAGCGCGCGCGCGCCCTTGTATTTTATAAAAGAAATAAATAACTTTGCTAACTGTGCTGTGTGGAGTTATGAAGCACTTGGGGATTTGGAAGAACACTCGAGAAGTGTCGAGAAGCACTCCGCTACGCGTCTTGCTTCTCCGAACACTTCTCTCGTGTGTTTTTCCTATCCCCGCGCGCTTTATAACTTCACACAACACGAGCGCGCTATTTCTTCAATAACAAAAGACGTTGGATGATGTAACAAAAAAAGCGGTCATTTGAATTATACAAGAAACATGGCCACCATGTTGGATGATAACAAAGACATTGTCTCCATGCTGAATGATGTAACAAAAGACATGGCGGCCATGTTGGATCGCATAACAAAACGTTGGCCTCCATTAGTTAAAAACTCAAACAACGCAGAACGTAGACATTTTGATTAACGCAACAAAAATAGTAAAGCTTGGAACTGCGGAAAGTATTCCGGGTTGTGGAATTCATACGAAAATATCATTCAATTATTAAGAACCTACTTAGTTTTCTTCAAGACTTCAAAGCGCCAGTTTAAGAATGCTTCACCATCCAGTCTTATTCCCAAGAGGGTCTCGCTCATGATATCACTGGACAGTAACAGGATTCTCTCTTCCCATTCTTCTTGAGTTGCGGTGCCTTTCCCTAAAAGGAATAGAAAGAAAAACTAAATTATTAATTATTTGTATTCTTCTGAAAAAAATTATTCTTGTCTCTTCGTTCTTCGAGGAACAACTTTCCTCCCGTCCAAAACTTCAGGTTTGCACTTTATGTATCCTTTTCGCCACAAAAAAGCGTAACAGGTTTTGCAGTCCCCTGATAAGGCTAACGATAGATCGAACTGGAATTTAGAAGTTGATTTTTGCAGAGGGGGAAAAAATAAAAAAAACCCGGAGAACTCTACTCAAAATTTAAATCTCGTATTTCTAGTCAAATTTACCTTCCTTAAAGTTCCATTTAATCAGATGTTCCGGCATGATGTCAAGGATCGTTGGTAAAAGCGTCTGCATCTTCATACTCCTCGCTATCTTGATGAGGAATTCTTTCTGTTTTATGTGCTGTTCACCATTAGTGAACATGGATGGTATGTAGCCATCCAGAAGATCTTTGTTGAATCGAAAATTGCCGAATCCTGGTTCTTTCTCGACCTGTACAATATATGTGTTATTATTGTTTGTGTTTTTGCGCCTGGGGGTAAGTGGGGCGAGAGAAGAAGGAGGAGAGTTTGAAGGAAGGGAAGTGGACGAAATAGGTAGGTATGGACGATATTCAAGAATACACCCCAGTAGCAACAACAATTGGTATCATTAGCAAAGATTATAACAGCGACGAAAAGGATAAAAACAGAAGACGACAAAGAGACAAGAAGACGAATAGGCCGGCCAACAAAGGAAAGAAGGGATGGATCCAGGATTTTTCTAGTGGAGGGGGGGGTGAATCATCCAGGATTTTCGTTTTAGGAGGGGGTGTACCTAGCCTTCTTCGCAGACGTTGTCCTTCGCAGACGTTAAAAGAAGCGTTGCGTGACGACCCTAACAACGTCTGCGAAGGAGGCTAGCCGGGTGCACCCTTTGCTTACAAAATCAAACACCAATAATACAATAGATATCAGCTCATCTAAGGAAAGGGGGGGGGGGGGACCCCTGCACCCTCCACTAGATCCTCCCCTGGAAAGAAAAATAGAAGGTATAAAATACCACACGGCGACAAAAGCACACACGCAAAATATTTAAAGAATTTTCCAAGTGTCAGTCAATAATCGTACCTTGTTTGTATCGAATAGAGCCTTGATGCCTTTAAAGTCAATGACTGCGATGTACGAAGCTCCGAAAAAGTTGCACCTGAATACGTTACTGTTGTAGAGATCGGACTGCTGTAAGAAGAATAGATGACCATTCTGTAGAAAGAAATATTGATTCTTTAGTTGGTAAGAACTCATCAATATAGCAATTACTATACACTTTATCACAAAAAGTCAGGTTACGCTCACCGCCACGAAAACGTTCACGAACATCACGAACACATCCCGAAAACGTTCAAGATCAACATCACGAACACGTCAGTCCCGAGCAAGTTTACGATCACAGTCGCGAAATGTTCACGATCACCATCACGAAAACATCCCGAACACGATAATTTCACGATGATAACAATATAAATAATTACACACCTTGACTAATTTAACGACTTGAAAGAGCTTGTGTCTGTGGGATCCTGGAATTGGACTCAAACCCTCGTCCAGTCCATTCATCAACACCCTCTGACTAAAATACAAGTATATTCAAGCACAATTTAGGCTCGTTTCGTTTACTCAAAAATTAGGCTAAAGGGAGAGAAGGGGAGTGGATGGCAGGGGAGGGAACATTGTCTCAGTCTTTTTTTGACCTCGATAATCAAGTGGCATTATTTCTAGCTTTGGCGAAGACTATAATGTCTGCAAGGCCCAGAATCGTGCCCAGTCGTTTCTCTTTTCTTGTTGATCTCACGCTGTGGTTGATGGGAGAGATCAAAAAAAGCGTGAAAAAAATGTACGACTGGGTACGATTCTGTGCAAGGCCTGTAATAAAATGCACCAAATTTTTGGATTGCGTAGCAAGACCTGAGGGGGTAGGGCTAAGGAGGGAGCTTAGAGGAAAAGGGCCCTTCCCTTAAACTCCGATTATGTACGCCGGACTATGCCCACTACCATGGCTCTCGATAAAGTAATTAATTAAAGGATTAGATCATTGTTTATTTAAAAGCTAAATACATGCTGAGGCAATTAATTGTCTGCATAGAACAAGTATAAAAAGGATGGAAATAAGTGATAAAACTCATGTCACTCACGATCTAAACCAAGTTTTGGTTCGACAACTTTCGTGTCGCACTGACTGTTTATCGATTGGTTTCTTCGTATTTGAAGTAATCGATACAGGTTCGAAAGTACCGAATGCGTAGGTGTATATGACTAACAAGACTGAACAAGAATATATCTTAAATATTTTCAAGATAAACATTTAAATTACAAATTCCAGGCGAAGAACTCAACCGGGCTACATAGATATAAAAAAGCTAAACGAACCAAGCAGTTGTGGCATGGTGTCAAACGATTAACAATACGACAATTTTTGCCTCAACTCGTTTTGTATTTGTTTGTTGCACTGAACAGAAAAGCGATTCGACAGGTCCTTACAGAATTCAAAATGTTTATCACGAATATTCTTTAGGTCTCTAAGTTCTCTAAGGTATATTTACAGCACAGTTACGGACTAGAAGAACAATAAACTAATGACATTCCTTTACCTATACTTATAACTGGGGTAGTATAAAAAATCATCAAGTGTAACCCGTATGACTATAACGCGTAAATTGCGGGGGAGAACGTTTTTGATGACAAAGACATAAACTATTTTTTTTGGATTGTAATGAAAAGTAATGCTGTACTAATGGAAATAAAGATTTACTAAGCCGCATAAAAATAAGGTTAGAATGAAGACTAGATTGAAGTTAGTTATAAATGATCATAAAGCCAAACAAATGTAAAATTTTAGAGGCTTCTTATGAGGAAATATTTTACCCCGCGAACCTAAGCGTCGCTAAAAGAAAATCCAACGAATTCGGAATATGTAAAAAAATATACCTAAACATAACTTTAATGTAAACAATTCAAGTGATAAAAATTAATTAACTAAAATATTACGTATATGTCACAATGGAACAAAAAACAACAACAAACTAACCAAAAACCTCAAACATAACACTGGAAAAATAAAATTTGATAAATATATTGTCTTTGTTTAGAAGAATAGACTTAATCTATTCGATCTTGCTTGGCTGGTCATGATTGCCTTCACAGAGATGACGTGACTGTATTGCGCCTCCGCTAGCTCATCTAAATCGACAAGCAACTCAAATCACCCATAGATTTTCGAAGATTTTGCTAAGTTTATAAATCGACTCCTAGATAGATTCAATATTTTGAATTTTTGACTATAAATATAGCTTTAAAATAACACGTGGTTCAGACGGTGTTGAGCTGCGTTGAAAAGACAAGTACTTCGATGTCAATCTTCGATAAAATTGACTTCGTAGTTCCAAAGTTCATCAACTTGTCTCAGCAAAACTTTGGCAACATATTCAAATTTCATGAAGTAAGTACTTCGCTCAATTAGTAAACGTTTCTATTCTAAGGTTTCTATTCAGGAAGCTTACTGTAATTTAATATATGAGTCATGGAATATTTTAGTAAATCGGAAATATATTCGGATCGCCTACCTCGATAGTCCTCGCTCCAACCATCTTCCTTGCTTCGCTTTAGAGTTCTTCTTTTTAGCGTCCGCGGCCGGAGCAACACGACCCGACTCCAAAGTTGCGGTTTTTTTATTTCCAAACATCAAGTTTGAGCTTCACGAAAGCCTTGTGTACAAGAGAATGAATGTTTTGAACGTATCGCTTCTCGAGGTATATAACATTGACACGGATCATTTGATTTGGAGTTGATTGATTGATTGATTGTTCAACGACACTTTGTTAGTTACCGTTGCTATGCAGTGTCAAAAATACACTCGATTTCACAAGAAACGTGCAATAATGAAAATAATAAAAAATAAAAAATGGTAAAACTTAAAAATTCAAACTTCTTGTAAAAATACTTTAACGTGTGGGATTTGTTTACTAGCACTTGATTTACGAAATTTTCAGAATTTTATTACTGTCTTCGTTCGGGAATTTTAGAATTATGCACGAATGTATGTACTGCAGACAGCTGTTTCTTAATAGAGCACTTGGAGTTTGAAGTGATATATTTTACACCATTGATCTGTTATAATACGGGCGGAATGCGTCACGTAAGACTGAAATAAAGTATTATGAGTAGTGCGTTACGACCAATCAGCTGACTAAGATGTTCGTCAAACTTTCCAAGTACTTTATGCATGTTCCTAATCTATGGCTGTTTGTATAAAAAACATATAAAAAAATCAGGTCTCTGGCAATGCGAAATGTAATTTCCTATTGTCGTAGGATCACCCACCAAAGGTTCATCACTAGGACCGTTATTTTGCCAATATAGGCTTGGGATCCTTCGTCTGCATATACCGCAAACCTATTGTAATTTTTGCTAACTTAGAGTATTTCGATGTTTCTATTGAATTGATTACGTAATCTGTATCCGGTGCCTRCGGAGGAAGCCGGGAATTTGTAATCAGGACTCCCGCTAAGGATCCCTGGCTTGAGACTCCTAAAATGATTAGATCGCATGACTAAACGAGGAGGGGCATGTGAATAGAAAGCGTTGCTTGCGTGATTTATCTATATATTTACATAACTTTATCCATGACAATCATCTAAGTTCCTAAGCAGTTATGGAAGGGGTAAGCACAACAGAGCTTTGGATCCAAATTAAGTGCACCCCAACAAAAAAATGAAATTATAAAAGCAACAACCAAATACGAATAATGATAAACTCTAAGTGAATAAATCGAGTGAAGACATCAGTACTGTAGATCTAGGATTTTGTAATCATAATCATTAGTAGTTCATTAAAGTTCATTGTTTTTGATTATTCTTCGAAGTAGAATGGATACAGACTAGTTAAATTATAAATTTTTGGAGAGGATATCACGTGTTGAGCAGCACTTTGGACAGATTGATGACATCAACATGCTCGGCCACAGCAGAGACGTAGTTGCCTAACATTCTTCCTGAACTGATTGCCTGAAGAGGTGCGGATTGATATAGGCCTCGCTACATCTTGGAGTGGATCAAGAGATTTTTTTGTATAGTTGTAAGATAAAAGGAGTTTTATTGTTCAATACTGAAGAAGAAGGAAGAATTGATCGTATAACTGAGGAAATTGAGCGAGATTTTTCCCTTGTCCATTACTGAAGGTGTCGTTATGATGCGCTTGAACCATCACTCCTTTCCTTGCTGAATGTCGATTCATTTACCATAGCCATAAAATAGAATACTATGATAATATAAAAAATGTACTGCTCAGGGGCAGATCCAGTAATTTTAGAAGGGGGGGGGGGGGATTACAAATGTTACCAGGAACTCGAGAAAAAGGGGGGTGACTATTAGTAACGAAATACTGATAAGTTTGAGCAAATGTTGTAAGAACAAATGTTACCAGGAACTCGAGAACAAGCCGGGGGGGGGGGGGGGGGGTGACTATTAGTAACGAAATACTGATAAGTTTGAGCAAATGTTGTAAGAACAAATGTTACCAGGAACTCGAGGAAAAGGAGGGCGACTGTTACTATCAATATACTGAGAAATTTGAGCAAAAGGGTTACTAGTCACTAGTCACCCCTTTTACCATCCCTGGATCCACCACTGCTGCTAGACCTTTTGCAAATTCGCTTGAGTGACCCAAAGAAATGGCTGCAAGGCGAGGTTGTACTTGATAATATACAGTAAATGTATGAACACATCAAGTACAACCTGGACTTGAAGCCAGTATCATGGTCACTCGATCAAGCGAATTGGCAAAACATCTCTATTGTTAAATGTTCTTTGAGTGGAACCCCGGTACTTGTTTGATTCCGGTTAGTTAGGGCACGTATATGTATTTAAGTGACGTATATTCAGTCTAAATGCGTAGTATTTGGACGAAAATAGACTAATATGTTGAGTTTAAGGATATCGAAGCAAAATAAATCGAGTGATGGTTAAAGGAAAATTGAAATACTGAATATAGTTCGCAAGCTAGATCTTTTGTTTGACTAGTTAATCTAAAGAAAAATCTGAAAGACGAAAAAAATAAAAGCAAGGAAAGAAATGAAAAGTAGACACGCCTATGCTACTATGCAACATTAATGTTCTTACTCAGTCTGCGATGCATAGACAAGGCCCGTGTTGTCCCTTAAATTTAAGGAGGTTGATGAAAAGTTAAGGGTTGGAGAAGTTGGTTGGTGGGTTACCTTAAGAATAGAGCTACTAGTGAAAATGCTCAGACCACGCGCTTTCCCGCCCCCATAATAATTTAAAGAATGTTATCGCATTTAAAAGTAAAATGCAAGAAAGAATTATAGGAAAGGAAATAAAAACTATTATGAAAATCCAAATAGTAAAAAAAAACTATAATGGTTTGGGTATTGCATAGCAAACTTTTTAAAGAAACTGTAACTTTTTGAAGCTGGTCGTTACTAGAGTGCAAACAATATAACCGTGAAACTTTAGTAATACTAAATAGCACAATTTCATGGAAATTCCATTGTTTTCTATTGTTTAATGAGCATCATTTTGTACTATTTAGTAATTAGTGTTTTACGGATTAATTGTTTGCGCTCTACTGCAACCATTTATTAACAATAAATAGCTTTTAAAATTTTTACCTTAATTTTCGGTCTCCGTCTTTAAATCTCTTGAAAACACATTTGAAAGCCGCTTCAAAGCAACTCATCATTTTGCTGTTTGATGTCCTTATTATCCAAGCTAGATAATGTTATAATGTCAGGTCGTTAGCGGGGATTACTTTATATCTATACGGACACGGAAGAGTGGATTTATTTGAACTATGATATCCACAAACTTACGCGAGCTAGAAGCAAGATCTCAGCAAATGACGTAAGTCTTGTGCTTGTGGCTTAAGACAGGATGTTGATTACGACACAAAAGTCACTAAAAATTTTGCTCCAAATTGTCTATTAAAATTGTCCGAAAAATCGTCTTGCCTCGAGAAAAAGTAAAAAAGAAGGCGCTAGAATCTCTAGAACGCTGTAGAGACAAACAAGAATGCCCTTCAATTTTCGATATTGTCGTAACGGGTTTTGGTGAATGGTTACGCCGTTTTTTGCATTCCTTCATCGATATTTTTAGGAAGTTGAAATAAATTTATATTTTGGGATTAGTTTCGTATACTGTCATAAGATCGCAAGACTGAAATAGAAACGAAGACGCCCTCCAGTTATCTGCAACCATTTTTGTACATATAGGAAAGATATTTTAGGACAAGTTGTCAAACGTTCTTTGTCAGTTTTAATCATTCCCTTTAAGCAAAGAGCTGAACTGTTTTTTTTTTTTTGCAAATTCCTTTTCCGCGTTTTCGTCCATGCATCAAGAGTTCTGCGCTGCACCTCTAAGACCATACTGGTCAAAAAGAGGGATCATGGTTCGTAAAAATTGCTATATTTTGGTATTTTTGATTTGGAATTAGCTTAACGCTATTTGCACTTGAATATTTAATGAATATTGTGCTTGATAAGAAAAATACAATCAAAATATAGAAATTTTTACAACAACCCACTTTTTGACTTCTAGAGCATGCACTGAGAGCCATGAGAGCAGTAGTTCGGAACTCTTGGTTGCATGTATTGTCGTGGCAATGACTGCTTCGCATAGCCGAGCTAAAACTAGAAGTATATAATCCCATCTCTGTGCACAGACGCGCATCCACCTACCTTACTAAATATCTTAGTTCATTAAAAGCGACATATTCGCGATATCAATATAACAGAAACGTCTAGAAATATTTCTTCCTCTTGAGCTAATGATTTATTTTTAGCTCTCATTTTATTTCATCTCTTTCATTTTTTGTTTATTCCGAATTCGTCTGTATTTAGATTGTTTTTATGTCATAAGGAAGAAATAAGTTTTTTAGCTTCAGTTGGTGCTGAAAAGGATGGGAAGCCAGAACTATAGTCACGTATCGCAAGAGTGCTTTTGTCGTCGAATGGAATATCTTTTTCTTAGTTTATTTTAAATAATTTTTATTAGTTTTTTTTTTCAGTTGGCGCTGAAAAGGATGGGATGCCAGGACTATAGTCACGTATCGCAAAACAAGAGTGTTTTTGTCATTGAATGCAGTAGATAATTGGATTTTATCTCTCAAATACATTGATTACTAATAGGTTGCTATCAATAGACGTCACTTCCGGTAGTAGCTCTTTTTTAATGGCTTGTAGAATCCTGGAGGTTGTTTTGATCTCTTGTTTTTTGGTTTGACGTCGTGAAAATAGTCAAATACAATAGTTTGAGGACTTATTTTGATATGTTTTGACTTAGCATCCGCTAGTTGCCCCCAAGTCAACCGCTTGTTTGCCCCCCGTCAACTCCAAAGTCACGTGATTGATAGTAAGCAATATTATCTCGATATTTTATAAATATTTCTTTCTCGAATTTGTAGAAGAACAATAAAGTGCTGCTGAAGAAATATTTATATTTTACAACCTCCACTCCACGTACGAGGGGTAATTTTAGCCGGTATTCTTATATTTATCAAAACTTAAAACAAGCAACAAGAACAAGGAATAAAAAGAAAACGAAGAAACAAAAGGAGAAAAGCAATAATGCCATCTTGTAACTGAAAACAAAAAGTATTTTAATAATTATTCTTTCCGTGGTTTAAAACGTGCGTTTCTCTCTTTAGTGAGTTGATCTGAACTTTATTGCAGTTTGTCTATTGATACACTAATTGCACCTTGAAATATTTGACTGATATAGATAGTTTTACATTATAATTAAGTTTATGAGCAAACACATGAATTTACCACCAAAGTAACCACTAACAGATACAAGTTATAACCACTAACATATCAGTGCGTCACAACTAAACCACAGCTCGCCACTATCATTAGTCTTCTAGTCGACCCCGAAATAGACCTCAATAGACCTCAAGGTTGCGTGTGCATCCAAGTTGACGGACCACAAAATCGAAAACCGCAGATTCAGTAAAATTGAGAAGCCAATTTTATATTCAATATAATATAAAGAGGAAAATAATCAACATATGACTTCTCAGTCGAAGAAATTTTCATAGGAATGTATGATAATTCTCATTATAAGGTCCTGTTCTGGTATCGTGGCCCGTCAAGTTCCTTAAAGCAACCTTGAGAAAACGACCAATACTCCTGTTTTGTATGTCGAAAAGTCATAAATTTTGTTCTCAAGTAATTTTTCAGTTTGGCGTTAAAGAAAAAAGACCGTTTTGGAGGGACCGGAAGTGGTTTAAAATGTTAAAAATGCCAGACTTCCTGATGACGTCATATCAATTGATGCAAACCCTTTGGACGTCAAAGACAGGCGTCTTCTGGATAATTCAATGTAATATAAATATAATCTTAGTATTTATTAGATAGATTATATACTATACTACTTTGACGTCATCTAAAATGGCGTTTTCTGGGTAAATGTAAGATAAGCATAATCTTAGTATTAGCTATTTTATAACAAATTTTAGCTAAAAATAAATAAAAATAAAAAAACTGGACACTTGAAGGATATATTTTATAATTGGCTTAAGTTCAAAACTCATTTTATATTCTCGTGCTTGTTAGGTAGATTTATAGTAAAATTTCTAATCATTTTTTTATTTTTTTAATTGTAAATATTTTCTTTCATAAGGCCCTAATGAAAAGTTGTCTCCCTAGTAAGATATTATTATCATTATTACTATTATATAATTTCTCTGCCAGCAGGGTAGAGTGCAAACAATATATCCGTGAAACACTAATTACTAAATTGTTCAAAATAGTGCTAATGAAACAATAGAAAATAATAGAATTAGCATAAAAGTGTGAGTTAGCATTACTAATATTTCACGATATTGTTTGCACTCTATAAGTGATTTTCAAAAACCTGTGAAATAGATATCATTAATTGGCGTGTAATAGTGAAATGACAACAAAAGGACACAATGCAATTAGGGTCTACTAATTTGTTTTAGGCTGGTGTTTATTTCAAGAGTTTATAAAAACCACTCAATCATTACTATGATTAAAATAATAATTATTATTATTATTATCATTAAAGTATTTTTCAAGTTGCAGTTCACAGTCCAGACCCAAGGTGCTCACATTCAACTTTCATATCATATGAAAATTATCTTTATTGAATCATAAGCTCCGGCATTCAACATTATGCGGACCTAAATTTGTCATAATACTGTATTACAATATTCTTCTTTTACACTGATAAAGTGCTACTGGAATTCAGGATCTAAAAAGTTTGTATCTTCTTCTTATACAGAGTCTGACATACATGTATCATTTCTCTATGTTATATTTACATCAATGTAATCTACCCAAAATTGTATAAAATGTAGTTGGGTTGAAAAGGTTCAATCATTGAAGCTTAGAATGAAGAGTGATCTGTGTAAATATTTATTGAAGTTTTGCAGAATTTGAACATATTGATTCAAGTTATGGAACAAAACATTTGGTCACTCTTTATGTGTGTGTCTGTATGCAAACACTATTCAAATGCTCATGAAATTGTCTACCCTAAGTACCCCTTGATCTTAGCTTTGACTTTGACCATTTAATTAACCTTTTGAGCCAACAACGCTTTTTCAATATACTAGTTTTATATTAGCTAGTTGGTAGTTTAAATAAGACTTAACCTTTCGACTTGTGAAATCAACATTAGTCTAACACTGAGATACTCGTAGACAATAATACAATATAAGACTACCAATAATACAATATATATAGTTTGCTCTCTTTTCCTATGAGATGTAATGATGGAACTCATTCCATCAATAACAGCTGTTTTAGGCTTTAATAAAATTCTGATGTTTGGCTTGAAAAAAAGCTTAAAGTTTATTTTATATTCATTATTTTTATATTGCAGTTTTCAATGTTACACGAACTCAATAGCTACATGCTTGACTCTGAAGTTTGGGTTTTCTCTTCCATGAACTAAAATTGTGTAGTTTCAGAAATTATTCATACCTCCCTCCCTCAACACACAAACAGAGGAATTTTGAATTTCCGAGGGGTAGGGGTGTCAGTGAGAAAGAACAAAATTACAAAATTGCTTTGTATGGAAGAAAATTGGAATTCCCAGGGTAGATTTTTAAGAAAAATCCTCCGTCGGGGTATGGATAATTTCTGGAACAACACTTGATCAGTCAAGATTTTTGACTAGCAGCAGTGAAAAACCAAACTCAATGGGAAACTAGGAACTACTGAATTTGCATAATATTGGATATTGCAGTGAGAGATGCATGCATTTTCTCATTATGCTGATAATTTCTATATTATTACATGCATTCTGTTGAAGTCTATATAAAAATGAAAAACCTAAGTATTCAACATCACATGGACAGTCAACTTATGCCCATCTATCTCTCTGTCGTAAAAGGATCTCCCATTTCTGTACTCGGCAAGAGCAGAGAAACTTATATACATTACAGATAAGCCCTTGATCAAATGGATTGTCATCCTCACTCAATGTCTTTAAGTATGAAATCCTCGATCTTGACATGTACTCCCATGTTGTCTGTGCCGTAACCATTAGATAGGTATGACAGCAAAAGAGCATAAAGACAACTATGCCGCCAAGGACTAGAATGATTAGGGCAACAATATATAATGAATTGGTCATAGCCCAGTCATACCATGATTTTTCATGGACCAATGCAAACCTGGGAAATTGAAAAAAGGAATAAATGAACAAATGGGAATTCGAAGAGATTGGTAAGCTACAGTACACATAAACTACTTGGGGTTACTCCCTTTGTTCAAGTGATAGGGGAGATCAGCAGTCCTTTTAGGGTTTACTCAAAAGTGGAATACCAACTGCTTTCCTGCCACTTGGACAGTAACCTTTATACTTCACTTACAGCGCTTTATTAGTGCATGGTTTGCTCAGAACCTCTCTGAAAATTACTGACAAAATGAAAGTGTATTTCTGGAGCAAACCAGCTTTGCAACAACAATTATCACTATCACCATCATCAAAGCCACCACCACCACCACCACCACCCACCATCATTTTGTATTTTTTGCAATATTGCTTCCGACTATCAGTTTCTGAGGGTACTCTGAGAACTACAGTACATATCTCTTTCACTGTGTGGGTTCCCTGTGTTAGGTTTGTTATTCCCATGCTTCAGATAATGTCATTATACTTTTAGACAAATATTGTGCAGTACATGAATACCACCAAAAAAAGATATTTCTTACCATATGATATACAAGGACCATCCAATAATAATGATTTGAGTCAAGAGAAAACACCAAAAAAACTTATGATTTCTTTCACCAACACAGGTGCCTAGCCAAGGGCAGTGATGGTCATATCGACGCACACATTTCCCACAATCCTCACAATGTTTTGCTCTTAAAGGTTGCATTAATGAACAGTATCCACATCTGCGTAGTCTACTTCCAAATGGTGGACTAGCAAGAATTTTACAGGATTCTTCAGCATCTTCGTCTGATTGGCTATCATTTTCTATTTCTGCTTCAGCTTTCTGAGACATGAATGAAAGGAAAACTAATCAAATGTCATAATTTCTTACAAAAAAAATATTTCTCACCAGATCCATATTCAATATATCGTAGAACTCGATCCAGTGCTTTCAAAATCTACTTGACACAACCCGGCAAATAAATGACAAAAAATAATTATAAATCAATAATAAAGGATCTTGTCTTGTCCACTACTTTTAAATACAATAAAATTCGCCGACTTCTTTATATAATTCATGAGCAACGGATTTCAAGTTTAGGATTTTGGTCGCGAATATCAAAGAAACCTTTCATTTCTGACGGGCAAGAAACCTAAGACTTCCGTGTCTAAAAATAATATCATCGTAGTGACCCCTTTACAATTAGATTCCAATTGATGAAAGTAACGTTTTGACAAAAAGAATAGGAAATCTGTTAAGTAGATTGAAGCCTTACCTCGTATGCAACTAAAATACTATTTTGGTTTCTAATTTCTAAGTAACCAGGATCAATGAAGCTTGCTACAAAATAGAAAATAAAACCAACAAAGACCAATCCGAGGAAAGAAGAAACGTAGAACCATCGTCCTTCGAAGACCGAACGCCGTAACTCTGCGAACAAAAAGAGACATTTTTATCAATCAAGTTATTGTTTAAGGAAAACTTGTGGTCAAATGGATTGTTACTTACCTGTGTCTTTAAGAAGTAAGATTAAAACGACTCCTATTGTGATGAAGACGTGGACTATCCGAGAGACAAATCTTTCTTGCCAGTGTTTGGCTGCCATGTTTACATGACCGTCTTTTTGTTACGAGGAATCGAACACGGACACTTGACTGGGTTCCAGTCTATCTGCCTCGAAACTACCGTGGGGGGAGGGGATGGGATAGAATGAAAATTCATACAAGAAAAATAAATTTGTAAGCGACTTCAATATTGTTAGGGACATTTCAAAAACTTTGAAATATGAAAACGATAAGATGGAAAAGTGTTCCTATGCTCCCCTCCCTTTTCCCCCAGAATACAATATTTATGTGAAGATGAGGAAATAACTTCAAATTTTAATGATACCCTAAAGGCAACCTCTGGGCTGTTCAAAGTCAGGGAACAAGTAATTCACAGATGGAATCAGAATTTAGGTGCAGAGGAAAACCGTTAAATAAGAGTTACTGAGTAAAAATTCGCATTTGCGAAAACGAAAAAATAAAACACAACAGTGACGTATAAGAGTAAATAAGTATACATAAATAAATTCAACATTTTACTAAAACATGCAGGTGTTTTCAATATTAACATGTTTTTACATAAAAGCTAACTATTTACCTCCACCTCATAAACATTCCATTTACATCTTCATAATCTCTTTTTACGAAATTAAAACAAATTTTGCCCTGCCTTATTAAAGCTATTGTGTCTATGCATTATGTTGTTAAGGCTGACTTTGGGCCTTCCCTTTTAGAATTTCCTGGATTAGGACTAGGATTGGGCCTTCGCATAAGATATCTTGCATTCTGTAGCTGAATTATGTTGAGTTACTTAGGGTATTAGCTATCTTTGATGTTGTTTCTTCAGATGCTATCCATATTAGTCCATCATCGTCCAGGTTGCACACCTCTTCATTATGATCATCCCCATCATCAATTTTTGCACCCTGCCAGCTTAGCCTAAAATGACAGAAGTCCTCATCATTGTCATCATCATAATCATTCTCTGCATCTTTATCCCCAGTTAGTGTATTTTCAGATTCTATGTCCTTTGTTCCATCCCAATACTGACAGGTGTCATTATTACCAACAGTATTCCAACAAACATCACTGGTATAATGAACAATTTTAGTATCAGAGTCGTCCAGATCTGAATCCCAGTTCTCAGTTGGCTCATTGATATTATGTTCTGTCGGTGATATATTTAAGGGGTTTATCTTATTATCTTCATCATCATCAATATTCCAATCAAGGCTGTCTTCACTTTCATCAGACTCCCACATAGGACGACACCATATAATAGAGTCCCCATCTTCTGTTAATTTAAATCTGGAAGACTCAAGAACAGACCTAGAGGGTAAAATATGAGTTGGTTAATTGATTGAGGAGATGAAAGGGAAGGATGGATAAAAGGATGGGCAGGTGGATGGGTGAATGTATGAGTAGGAAGGTTAAATGGATGGATGGAAGAATGGATGGATGGAATGGAGGGAATAGTGGATGGATGAATATCATAGTGAAAGGATGGGACAAATGTTAAAGAATGGATGACTGGTTGGATTCGACAAATTAATGGGTAGATGCAATGATACATGATTAAAGTGCTTATCAATGGTACTAGTCAACCATTCATTTATGATGATGCATAAATTTTAAAGCAAGCCATTCCCAGTGGCCAATTGCCGTTTGAATAGCCATGATATGGTCAATAAATTAACCATTCATTTAAAAGTTGGGTCAGTATCAGATTATATTTTGAACCAATTGTCAACACTGTACTTGCTTGGCTTCTTGCTTTAAGAATGGCCCATTCTTCAAAATGCACCCCTACAATGCACCCCAAAATGTACTCTACTCAAAACAATTTACTTTAATTTCTCCATGGTACCACATAGCTTCTGTAATCCTCGCATTTCAAGCAAACGTTTTAATTCAAAAGATTTTGGTGAATCGTCATCAACTATAGGTTCATCCTCCTCTTCTTCATACTCATTTGGCTGAGACAAAAGCCATAAAAGTCTTTCCACTTCATATAGAATTTTCTGTTCTTCTGTGATTGTACATTTTCTGTATGGATATTCCACTTCTTTGATCTGAGAACAATATTTGAACATGAAATTACTTTTCATGATTATACATTAGAGGGTAATAGTAAAGACATGTCCCTTGGGAACCCTGGGGTAAGAGTAATTAAGTTAATTTATTTTACTTGCAATTGCCCAGTTCTCAGATCCAGGGGTTCATGTATTAAGTGTTTGAAGGTAATAATAATAACAATAATCAACATCATCATCATCATCATCATCATCATCAAATTTATTTAACGAGGGTAAACATTGAACAGTATGTCAACTGTCTAATAATAGTGGCCCTCATACCTAAAAACTAAAAAAAACAATACAATACAATAATGACTACACTATATCAAAACTAAAAGAGACATTAAGAGAAAGGTGCTCCTTTTTCCCCCTCAGACTATCAGTGCTCCTTATAGGGGTGTTTAAAGCCAAAGCTACACAGACGGAGAGAAGTGAAACAGACATGGAGATACTGAGGAATTGAAACATGGACCTCTAGCTCTAAAGGCTGCACAATAACTAAGTGAGCTATGCCTGCCTGGTAAAAAATGAGTGGTCCCTAATCAGATTAAAAAAACACAATACATACCAGTTGATAAGGTTGACCAAATGATTGTTCTTCCTTAGGGATACATATGGAGTCATTCTTCTCAAATAAAGCCATTTGAGAGCAGCATCCCAGATGCTCTGTTCCTATTGGTCCATTGCCAATGCCTTGGAAGGACACAGTATATCCATATTTGTTTGCCTGAATTGTAGCCCTGTAAGGAGATCATTAAATTTGATCAGGTATATTACCTATAGTGAATCATGGGTCAAAAGATAATCTGCATCATGATAGTGTAGTTCTTGAAAACATGGAAACAGTCTGACAGGAAGGATTTATGTACATGTAAGGGTTCTTTACTTAAAGGAAATTTGCAGTTTGGAGAAAACCCTACCAGAAGCACAGGGGGAGTAGGGGTTAGAGTGCTGACCTCTCACTAATGTGAATCAGGTTTGAGTCCTGCCAAGCTTGGTGTTGTGTGTGAGTAGAGTTGCTCGTTGTTTCTCTATTGTGCTTCAAGGGTTTTTCTCCAGTCTTTGATTTTTCTCCCTCCACAAAAATCAACTCTTACATTCCAATTGGAATTTCAGTGAATAAAGAGCCATTCTGTAGAAATGCCACTTTTAAACCTTTTCCCCCTTGTACTGACAGTGCATGGAAAGTAAAAAGCTCACCATTCTTCAAACTCTTCTCTTGTCCACTCAAACTTGTGGTCCCAGTGACGAAAGCCCTCCAAGTTTGGAAACAAGACGTTGAAATCAGCATTAGGAGTTGTCACTATGGCAACCTTGGGTGACAGCTGACCAAACAATACTTTTGGCATTGCTTCAAGGTGTTCAGGAACAAGATGTTCAATGCTAATAATTTATGATGAATATTTCAATAATAAATTTGTAACGTCTGCCTGTGACATCATACAATAAATGTCTGACATCAAAACATATAGTAAAATCTTTTGTCTGAAATGACAAGGCATGAATGGTAGTGTTGTGGTTGCCCATGTACATTGTACTCATCAAACAGATCAGAGTAATTTCACTTTTAATGAATCCCTATCCTTATCATACACTGATAAACCGGTACCGATAAACCTACTAAACTCTCAAACTCTAAATCTCAAACAAGTCCTAAATCAAATCGTGACATTCCTTATATATCATGACTCACGTGAACCTTAGTAACACTAGTCTTAATTGACTAACACAATTTGTCAAGTGTCTTTAAAAAATTATTTTAAAATTTAGATCCTGGGGGTAGTGGGGAGGGGGGGGGGTAGCATTAATCAGGATCCTCTCCGTTGGAAGAGCCATCAAGGTGTCAATACATATATACTATATGCAAATGCACTTGTATTGGTATTTGAAATTAAAAGCTTTAGAACACACTTACATTTCAACACATGATATCAAATCAAAATTACAGAATCTATCATCAGCTTGAGAAATAGAACCTGAAAATGAGTACAGTATTGCATTACCATGATTGCCAATAATGTTGTGGATTATGATCTGAGCTGGCTACTTGAAAGAAATAAAATCATTATCATATCATCATTATTCTCATCATCACCACCACCTCAACGACCTACCACCATCATCATCCTCATTACCCACTCCCATCATTATCACCACCATCACCACCACCCACCACCATCATCATTACCATCACATCATTATCACCACCATCACTACAATCGTCACCGCCAACATCACTACAACCGTCACCATCACCACCCACCACCATCATCATCCTCATTACCACTCCCATCATTATCACCACAATCACCACCACCTACCACCATCATCATCCTCATTGCCACTAACATCATTATCACCACCATCACCAACTGACAACCACCCACCACCATCGTCATTTTATTCAATTTTTAAAACTAGGCAAAATTAGGCATTAGATAACCCATTATGAGTCTAAGTTTTTGGTTTAATTTHAAAAAAAGCCATTTCAGACCACCAAATAATATCAACTAGTAATCATCAACTAGTCATAATGTACTACTGAATTTGATGAATGGAAGCCAAAAGCTCAAATAAGCTGTTTCCTAAATGACTTAAGATTAAGAAAATGGGTGTAGAATGGGTGCTTTACCATGGTTAGTATAAAGGAGATTTTCATTACCTTGAAGCGTGGTGACAGTGAATGGAACTTCTTTTGGATGCAGGTAGTCGTATATCAGAGGTTCAATCCTAAATTTACTTTGTTGTAATAAATCTCCATCAATATCTACACCAACTAGGTGTTCTATTTTGGCTTCATTGCTTATAAGAAACCTTAGTAGTTTACACTCTGCACATCCAAAATCCAGAACCTGAAATTAAACCATTAACTTATATAAACACAAGACAAAAAATAAATATTGTTGAACTGCATAGCACTTGAGTGAACCAAGTTCCTCCGTTGTGCAAGAGGTTGTGGTACAAGCATTTACCTGACTAGCACTTAGGGTCTTAAAATAACTGAGGAGAAGGTGCTGCCTTTATAATTACATTTACAAATGGTTAGACCTTCACATGGCTCAAATGACCATGTTAATGTTCGGCATGTACTTGGATATGCCAAAAGAATGGGAGGGAGAGACTAAAACACATTCACCCTGCATTGCATCTGAACTAAATCCTGGTCAAGTTAAAATGGGTTTATAGATGCATAGCAGACAATAGGGAGTTCACCCTATTAATATGGTTGGTATCCCTGTGGTAAGTGTTAAAGATGTCTACCCACCTTCTTAGCATTGTATTTTTGAACCATTTGAAAAACAATACCATATCTTTGACGGTAGACTGGTGGATCAAAAGATATCCCTGGTGGCTCATGTTCACTGTGACTTTCTTTGCTCTCTTCAATCTCTTGATTTTCCCCCAGGTCTTTCTGGCCTGAACCATGGTCTGGGAGATTACTCATGCCAGGGAGATTTTAACATTCACTTGTTTTAATATCTAAATTAAAACATCAGTTATTTGATATCCTATCTTTACTGACACCTTCTTTCATACTTCTCGCCATATACCTTCCATTTTTTTTCCTTTATATCTTTATATTTGTGTAAGCTTCCCCAGTTGCAGATAAATGTTGTTTGGGCTCTAGCTGTTTATAAATTTGTGAAATAGCACAAGGCGTACGAAGATTCCTCGAGTAGTTGCCGAAACTGGGTTGCCTGTGGTGCCGATCCCTTTTGGGGTAGGGTGAGGCTTAATGTGGCGGTGTGTAAAGGGACTGGGCTCTAATATTACACCACAGCAAGAAAGTTGTTATTTATAGAACTTTTCGTAAGAATTGCGCGCTGAAAAAGGTATATAAATCAAAAGCTTACTGATTTCATTCATTACTAGTATAGCTTAATACCTACCAAGCATTTTTGTAATTATTTATTTTCTATACTACCTTTAATATTATATTCCTTTTGCAAATGTCAGGTTCAAGTTCGACAGAGAACGAAGTTGATCAAGAACTTCCCGAAGAAAGAGTTCCCTCACCATGCAGAGCTAAATCAAACAGACGACGAAAAGATGCGAAGAAAGATAAGGATTTGGAGAGACTCTTAACAGAGTTGCTTTACGACTCTGGATATTCTCATGAGAGTAATTCAAGCAATCATAGTTTCCACTTCGAACAAGAAGACGACAGTGACTGCGATGATGAGTTGTTCGCGCAAATGGACAACCTCGAGGAATATCCTTCAGAGTTGGATTTCTCTGACTGGAAGAACGGGAAAATCTGTCGTAGAAGAGGAAATCTGCCACAACGAAAAGTCTTGCATTCAAGACATTATTCAAGAAAGAACTCTAACTTAGCTACTTCAGATAAAGTAAACTACACCAAGAGTGAAAGTAAGGAGAGCTTGATTTGCTATTGGAACAAGAAACTGAAGGGCTCGGAGGTGCACCTGCTAAAACGAGATCTCAGAAAGGCTGCAAAGAAGGTTACAGAACTAGAATTAAAAAAGAACAACGTAGAGAAACGATTAATTGTTAAAAGGACTCCCAGAAGAGGGACTGTTCGGCCCAATGCACTGATACCTATACAGCCCAGAGGGCCTACCAGAGCAAGAAGAAATATTTATGATCACAATCAATTTGTTTTGAGAAACGATAATGCTGATAAGCTCGGAAGTGAACATTTTGTGTTGACTCTCATTTCTCTTCAAGATAGAGAAATCACCCCAGAAGATTTTGACCTTCTTCTACAACTGGACTCATTTGTGGAAGTCAAGACTGTACCAAAAGCTGTAATAGACCGAATGAAAACTGAAAAAGTGGAAAATGAAATGGAAAATCCATGTATGATTTGCATGGAGGAGTATGAAATGGGAGAAACTCTTAAGTATTTGAAATGTGGACATTTTTTTCATAGTTCTTGTATTAGGACTTGGCTCACTGTAAATTCTGATAAATGTCCCTTGGATGGTCAAGAAGTTAGATAATAAAATTTATCTGCAAAGATATTTTGAATATTTGTAAAAGTTATAATTTTTGATAGGTTTAATAAAATATAGTTATTAATTTTTAAAGAGTGGTATTACTATAATCTTTTTTTAGTCACCTTGATCACGGGAGAGTTTCTTTATTTTTTCTTGGTGCGGTAAGAGATTTAACCTGTAGGGTGGGGTAGTTGGCCTTTATTACTCTTTACTGATTTTTATTTGATTTTTTAATTTTTGAAAGAAAAAAAAATTGAGATGTGTTGTAAAATCAAGTTCACTTGACCTTTGAAGTAAACGTGATTAGTCAGGGAAGCCACTTTATATTGAAACATTCTCATTCTTGTCCTATAACTTTTTTCTCGTTCAGTTTTGGTTCTGTTGTGTTCTCAGGGGCTGAAACTTTTTATGTACACAAAATTTCAAAGACTTACTGACTGACATCATACCTGTCTTATTGACCGGCACCCCTGGCCAGTACCAAGACTACCAAGTCTGTCTCTGATAGTCTAGGATACATATTTGAAGCCTGAAGTGATCAGAAGATGTCGAAACGAGAGTACAAAGAAGATGTTTCTTTACTTTGTTGACCTTAAGATCTTAGTTTTCCTTTCAGAATTTATACATGTTTGTATTGATAAGAGGCCTCTTATTTCAAAAGAATGGATAGTTTACTTGAATTCCCTTGAGGATATACTTCACACTTCTTAACAAATCAATTCTCTTCAACATGGTCACGTGCCGGGGCCTGTTTGACATAGTATTAGAAAGAAAACTTTTGGGGGAAGTCAACAGAAAAACTTGGTTGATTCAACAATGGTTGAAAAACTAACGTGGAAAATGTTTCAACTTTACTAATGAAAGTATTGTCAAACCAAGACTATGTCAACTCCACGCCGAGGTCGGAAAAGCATCTCTGAGAATGTCTGGCTTCTTCAAAATACTCTGGCCAAGATTTTGAACGACAATGATCGCACGTTTTTAATCCATTCGCTAAATCAATATCAAAAGGATCGCGATATCTTAGAGCTTGTAACATCACTAAAGAGAGTCCTTGACTCACCAAAGAAGCGTGAAGTTTACCCTCTTTTACGAGATATTATTCCCTCGAATGATAAACGTTACTTCGAAAGAGCCTGGCATACAAATCAACCAAAACATGTCACTCCGAATGGGTCATGGAATAACTCCACATCAACGAGGTCTAGATCGCGCTCTCAAAACCGACCACAGGAACATTTACGACGGTCTAATTTTTATTCAAGTCTACCTGAAAATCTAGACAAAAGTGACTCAGGGGTAGAATTTCCAGCATTAAAAAAGAGCTCAAGTTCCCGTTCTTTTCAAAAGTATCCTATACGGCGTCTTTATCTAAAGCGCGCTCCGGGTACTGGCTATGGCTTTAGTATGCGAGGGGGCTCGGAACATGGAGTGGGGCTTTATGTCTCGTCTTTAGACGATAATTCTATCGCAGAATACGAGGGCTTGCTACCTGGGGATCATATTATTTCCGTGAATGACATCCAGTTTGATGGTTTGAGCCACGACCAAGCTGTAAAGGTGAGTCTGATTTTGACAGCCACACTTAGCGACATGTAAACAACATTATCGTAACTTTTATCTTTTTCTTCTACCATTAATATTCGAATGCCTCAGCGTATAAAACTAGGTCTTACTGTAAGTAAATCTCTAAAACATTTTTAGGAATGTTAGATTCTTAAGTGATTTTCGATTTCGATACTCTAGTATTATCTTAGAACGGCAAGGATCAAAGAGTCGATTGCTGGAAAGTTCAACAACGACTGCAGCCGGATATGAGAAATCGTTGTCATTTTGTTTATAAAATTTCTTCCCGTAACCAAGCTGATAACTATTGAACCTAATCGAAAACCCCGAAACCCTCGAGCGTAATCTTAAAGTATATTTTAATATTTCGATGCTTATTTCTAAAACCAACAAGATGATAGTAGTCTAGAAGATAAAGAGATAAGATTAGTTTGTTCACCTGTTGACACCAATTCTCGAGTGCCAATTAAAAAAAAAAAATTCTGAATCTTTTCTTTTCTATCATGTGCTTCTGTAATTAACTGAAAGCGGAGGATTTTCATAGTGTTTGAGAAAACAAAGTACTTTATTGACTTATATAAATGCAAAATCGTGAGTTGATTGAGAATTTAGTCGCACGCAAAGTTATTACTTAGAGTCTGTTTGTCTTTTTTAATAAACAGGGCATCAATAACCATTAGAGATAACGTTTTTGGGAAGCTAATTTTTTAGTATCGTTATAACAACCTATAAAATATACCATGGTTTTTAATGAATCTAGTAAACTATAGTAGATTGCTTGGAAACCTTTAGTATAATTCATTATACCTATGGAAATTAGGGATTAGAAATGAAGTTAAAATTTTTTGACCTATAAAATAGGAAAAAAAGAGAGAGATCGTAATTTCTATTTACGCATTATCATTTTTTGCCAGCCATTTAATTTTAAAAGAATATTTTTTCTCGTATTATTTTGAACGTGAATTTGGTTTTAATTCTTGTTGTTGAATAGTTTTGCGTTGATAGGGATCCACGAGAAAAATTTGGTAATACTATAGATTTTTAACTATTTTGTAATGAACATAGAAGAGGATTTGAAGGTATTATTTTATTGATAGATTGAGTCTTTAAGAGGATTTTTACTTACTTGTCATAGCTACAGTTATGATTTATTGACCCAAACTAATCCATTGCAAATATTACCTTTGAAGTTTTTAAACCAAATTTTACAAAATCAATAAAAAAATCTAAAAATCAGAATAGCCCCCTTGCATGTGACATCAAAGGAGTGCAATTTGGAAGACAAAACAAAAGAATTTCAATCTCCTGAGAATTGTTCTCCTTTCCAAATTGAGTTGCATTCTGACGTGCTTCAAGGGGTCTATAGAGCGTTTTCACTCTCGTGACATGGCAGCCATATTGGTGTACCAAACAATAGAAACTTTCTGCACAGTTTTTGCATAAGAATAGAATTCAATTCCCTGAGGATAGACAATGTATTGTTTTTATACACCAACATGGCTGCTGTGACATCACGTGAAAACGCTCTATTGAACTATATTGGGTGAAATTTTAAGAAAAATTGTTGTGCGGGGGGGGGGGGGGGGGGGGGGGGGGGGGGGGGGGGGGGGGAGTGGAGATGATCTTTGATATGTTTGCACAGTACTACAGTCTGGTATTGGATGTACATTAGTAGCCTCACTCATGATTGTTAACTGCATGGCGGCAATGTGCACCATAATACATGTAGCACTTTTTTAACAGTTCTACAAACCATGTTATATAAACTGTCATGTATGTTGTCAGTGTCAAATATTACCTTATGATGATGGAAACTATTTATTCATTTATTTTTATTTATTTGTTTATCTCAAATATCAATGATTATTAGCTCCCTCCACATTCCTTCACAAATTTTTACCATTTTCTTAAGTTGAAACTTGCGGCTTAATACATGTAGTCTTAAGAACTCGAAGATTATGGTATTTCTATCCAGTAAAATGTATGGAGATTACAGTGAATTTGAATTACTTTATAATTAAAATTATATTTCAGATAATTAAGAATAGTAAGAAGCTCAATATGGTAGTTCGATCAGTTGGTCGAATACCAAACACATTTGTAGCAGAATCGACATATAAATGGATTGATTCTATGGGTCAGAGAGTGTCTCCACCCCCTAACGTAGACTCCAATGGCAGAGAGATGTCTATTGATGGCATACATAGGAGTGATTTACGGTTGCTAGGAGATGATGATGAGAGGAAGGTAAGCTTAATATCCAAATACTAACTTATCAAGTTATTATAAACTGGTATTCATTAATAGATTCCAAGCATATTTGTTATATCATTAAATAGCAATTATTTTCTATGTAGCTACTGGGTATTTGGGAATAGTATGTAAAAAATTGTATGAATATCGGGCACAAAACACTCTGACAATCAAACGATATCTGTTGATGATATAGCTATGTAGATGGAATTAATTTACTGACAGGGAGTTCATCTGTTTTATAATCTATACTAATTAAACAAAATTAATGAAGCATATCTGCCAACATTAGAAAAAACATTTGTACCTATACATCACTCTAGTGATCTTTTCATGAAACAAGATATTGGGGGCCAGGTGAAATTGAGGGGGGATAGGAAAAAAWTTTGGTATGAAAAAGGGGGGATGGGCAAATTTTTATTATTTTATTTTGCTCAGAATTTTAAAACTATAAATTTTGTTTTTGTTTGAATGCTTAGGTACAAGCCCGGGAATGGGCAACCACTCCCTGCAATCTTGAAGTAAAAAAAAAATAACCTCTACCTTTTAAAAAAATATTGGTTTGGCAGATATGAAATAAAATTATTCATACTCACTCAAATTTTGTAGCCTACTGACTCTTGCTATATGCAGGTGAATGTGTTTATTGAAGAAGGTGACAAATTAGGCCTTAGAATCAGAGGTGGATCAGAATATGGATTGGGTATTTATATTGCTGGTGTGGACCCTAACTCTGCAGCTGAAAAAGCTGGACTTAAGGTACAAGACACCTCTTATTGTATATGATATGCATTTTTAATATTTGATTTGCTATAGTATTACTTCATTACTAGTATGTCTATGTATCATAAATATATTTTGTTATACTACTGTTGCTTCAACATTCAAAGTGTATAGCAGATACTATGGATGCATGCAAATGAGATGCAAATGAGACAACACGCATTGTATTAGCCCAATAGCCTCACTTATATTATTATTAAACAAAAGAATATCTCATCAAGGACTCAACTGTAATAACAGATATTACTCAGACTTATTTTCAAAATTCATTATTAGGCTTCCTGTGAAATAATTCATGGGAGTTGATTTAGTATTTTCTTTATGAGGCAGCAAAAAACTGAATACTTCTGATCAATCTTTATATATTTTATCATAGTGTGGTGACCAGATCATGGATGTAAATGGGATAAGCTTCCTAAACATCACTCACGCAGATGCTGTCAAAGTTCTTAAATCAGACAAGAATATGATGGTTACCATGAAGGATGTCGGGAGATTGCCTTTTGCTAAGACTGTGACAGACAGGACTAGATGGACCAAAGGAAAGTTATCAGGAAAGCCAGTGCAAAGGTATTTGAATAAATATACTTAAAATAAATTTTCATATACAAGACCTGGACTGAAAATAAGAGCGATTTCAGTCGTCAGTCATGATGACCAGCCAAATTAGTTTTAGCTCAGTCATACTTCATTTCTGGCTCAACATTACAGGTCAAAATGACAGGAAAGGGAAAGATTCGACCAAACAGATTCTGGCAGGACATTGTTGTGGCTGTTATAGATCAATGCACTACATGCCTATTCACTATGCATATGCTCTAACTTTGCTCAGTATTTAATCAAAAAATGAATTAATCCCACAGCACAGACCACCATTACCTTATCAAATATTCTATGCATATTGTGTATGGCATGACTATTATGAATGCACTGCATGCTTATTCACTATGCATATGCTCCAACTTTGTGCAATGGTGATGCCAAAAGTGAATTAATCCTTCAACACAGACCACCATTACCATTATTGAGAGTATTTTATATTGATTATGATTTCACATGCACTGCATGCTTGCTCACTATGTGTATGCTGATTTTGATCTGTAGTGATGCCGATAGTGTCCTTACCACCAGTATCCAGATTCATGAGCCTCCAGATCATAGGTGACCAATAGTCCTTTTTACCAATATGGTGGCCATCTTGAATTTATTGTTTTAATTGAGACATTATGGGATGCGAGGGGCAATTATTGGAAATTATTATAGACTGTACAGATGTCTGGGTATATTTTCATATAACTCTACGCTTTTCATTAAGGAGCACAACTGGAACAATATTAACCCCACCACTTTATGCTTCATAAATTTTCTACGTTTGCCCCTTTGGCATCCCATGCTTCAAGATGGCTGCTATATCAGTAAAACATTCCATTAATTCCTTAGAAATCATCCGTACTATTATTCGCCAAAAGGCCTATCTACCAAATTTAAAAAGGTTCAAACTATCTTAAATGAACTATTAGTTATTTTTGTACTTAATATTACTTTTAGACTTGCAAAAAGCTTATCAATAAAACACAGTATATTCTCTGCAATAGTCCTTATCTAGGGCAGTATCTGTCATATTATGTTTTACTTTAAAAGACATATTGAAGTTTTGTTTTTAGCATGTGTGTGTTTGCACGTTTAATGTAAATGAATTTTGCAAAAATTATGCAATTTATTTCGTAGATAATCTCAAAAGTACTAAATATTGTAATTGGGAATAGTATTAATAATGAATTTTTAGTTGTATTGGACAAGAAATACAAGAATTCTTACCTTTTAAAGAGTCTTTCAGCCACAATGTTGTGCTTTGACTTCCATTTTTATTTGCATTCTGTCAAGAAGCGAAGAGACTTGGCAGGTTTGCTCAATGGAACCTTACTCTCCAATCAAAATCATCGTTAGAAATTAGCCTAGCCAATTATATGGCGCGTACCATTTTCGCGCCAATTTTTGCAATTTTTGCCAAATTGACTTTTGCTTCGTTCTCCTTTTTCATTAGACGCCACACAACAGCAGGAAGACCCAGACTTGTGACAGAAAGATCAGAAGTAAGATGTTTTCGTTTAAGTTAAGCTGTTTGCTTGTAGTTTTATTTTTATAATCTTTCCTTTCCTTCTCTAAAGAAATCCAAGTTCAGCCATGGAATTGCAGGCTCTCAGCTTTTGTACAATGGCTCTGGGCCCTCTGCAAAAAGCCTAGCAGAAGATCAAGCAAGACTTATATTGAATGAAAATGAATTGGGAACAATGACCTACTATATGGAGGAGTATTCTAAGGGTTTCATTTCGGTGGACGCATTCGTTTTGGCACTCTTCAGTCTCTTCAACACCCCAGACAAGGTACCGAATTCATCTAACTCAATTTGTTAGAATGACTTGTTATACGACCAACACTCAAATTCTACATTGATTTAATGTGTAAATACAAACATCAATTTTATTGGATGATATCTTAATAGCAAAGATATTTTACGCGAATTCTGCCCTTCGTCTTTGGCTTTAGGTCGAAGGGGCATGACTGATACTTGAGCAAACTTTACCAGAAAGTTTCTGTAAGCGCGCTTTTAAATCGATTTTAAAATAAATTAAATTTGTGACTTAATACGATGCTTATTGGGATATTTCAGGTTTCGTTGTTGTCTGAAGTTCGTGGGTTCATCCACCCAAGAGATATCGACCGATTTGATGACTTGGTCCTGAAAAGAGAAATCGAAGCCATAAGGGTAGGTACTATTTCAGTTAGCCATCCTTTTCTTACTTTTAGATATTTTACTGAATTGCTTTTTTACAGAAACGCAAAGTTACTTCTCCTCAACATCGTGAAGATGCCCACTCAATTCGTTCATACAGTAGCAGTGTCTCAAGCTATTCTGAACATGGTTCATCATCTAGCTGGAGCTCTGCTAAGGTATTATAACTGACTTGATTGCCATCTTTAGTTGGTTTGTAGATGAGTGCATCAAAGGTTAGATGAAATAATGCCTTTTTTCTTTGCTTCAGGAGTCTCTAGATTCTCGTCCTATTACTCCTCCACGCGTCCCAGAAGTATTGCCGGACAACATGAAACTTCTCAAGGTTAGCATTTTTTCTGCTGCATGCTTTATCGATTAACAATGCATGTGGCGCGTCGGTATGCCCTTTTTCTCTGGTTTCATTCTGTCTAAAAAAAATTATAACTTTTAAATTTGTTAAATTTTATGGTCTAAAGTGACTTTGGAAAAGAAACTTCAAAGGCGTGGTCGTAGTGAGGAGGATATTATTTACCTTATCCGCACACCTCTCACATATAGCTTTATACTTTCCTTTTTTAGCACCGTCATGGGAAGAAAGAAAAGGAAGGATTGCTAAGTTTTATGTCTAATGATGATACACTGAACGATTCTAGGGTAAAGTGCTGGCCTAGATGCCTTTATACCATAATATTTGGAAGTGTTTTCTTAGTATACTATAAACATCTCGAACAGAGTTGAAAAACTCCTTTAACTTCAGTTGTCGTTGGTCCATTTGCAGCTGAAAAGGGTAATGTTCTTGATGCTCCCTTTGTGACGTGTATCGTGGAGGCAGTCCAAAGCTGTTGTCGTAGGACGGTCCCTTGTTATTATTAATGTTTTCTAATACTTTTAAATATAGATTCTATTTGGGTTATTACCAGTCATTTCTTTGTTGTTCACTTGTCAGGATTCAATACCGTCCCCTCCATCAGACTTCACTACCGTCTTTCCTCTCTCTGCTTCCTCTCCACGGAAACCAAAACACAACGCTGTGACAAATGGTGAAATAACCAAGAATCTTGTCATTGGGGATAACGATAGAGTAAAATATGCGCCACATAAGAAACAAGACTCCAAAAAATCTCACAAACAACATTCAGAGAAACAAGAGAAATCGTTTAAAGAGGGTGCTGACAATACAGCATCAGAAAAAGAACATAATCTAAAGACGAAAAACGATTTCCAGTCTTCGTCTGATCACTCGTTTGAATTGATTTCTGAGACAAAGAAGGAAAAACGAGGATTTTTTATTAATTTTAACAAAGGAAGCTACTCCCCTTATAAACATGATCAATCTTTAGCTTCTAAGGAATCGACGAATTTATATCACGTGTCAGTCGTCAAGAAGAAAGACGAACAAGACGAAGCTGGAACCTCTGTAGAACGATCGTCGGTTGGTGAGGCTGGAGAAAAGTTGGGAAATCATGATTTCGAAAAGGCACACTCTAGCATTCCATTGGACACGACACCTACTGGTTTTGTCTCTGGTGAAAAGGTAAAACATTCGCATTCTGAAAATTCTGAAGAAAAATATGATGAAAGCACGTTTGTGGTTGATGAGGATGACTATGCTTTGCCATCAACACTAATGAATGGTTACCGCACCTCACCTAAGAAAGTAGATGATTCTAAGCACAGCTCAAGTGCAGTGGAAAAACAACCCTTAAATCCAAAAGCCCCGTTCAAACCAAAACCATACCATGCAAAAACAGAAGATCAAACCAAGGAAGGAAATAATGGCAACATCAGTTTTGAGGGCAAACAAACACTTAAAAGTAGCTCGCAGTCACCCGCGAACTCTGCCTTCGCTCCACCAAAACCCAAGCCGTATATTTCTCAACCAGCAGATCGTACAGCTAAGGATTCTTATGAATATGATGACGACAAGCGCAAGGACACCCACGGAGATCATGAGATTAAATCCTTTGATGCTTCTCCAGGACCCAAACACTATGATTCCCTGGAACTATTTCAAGCGCCAAAGGAAAGCCGTGATTCTGACCAGCAAGATAGTGGTCACCAGCAAGTCGATTATGTTGATATTGATAGCATTAAAAGAGCTAAGCAACTTTCTCGTCAAAATAAGAAACCTTTGGAGAAAAATATTAATGGTGATAAAAAAAGACACGAGTATGTTGATCCTAAAGTTATGGATTTTGCTGTGAATAATCCCCCTCCAATACCAAATCCATATTCATCCAAAGTAGAAAATAATACGACATTAAGAAAAGATCCCGATACACCCTACACTGGACCCCCTGACGCTAGTGAGACGAATTTTTATAGCGGCTCTCATGCTACCTCTCCTGTGTCTGATAATCCACCAACATCGCCAAAACCCTATTCTCCGAAATCAAGAAACATTGTCTCAGAAAAGAATGATTTCAATACGAAATTCAGACGGCATACTGAAAGTACAGAGACACGACTTGAGAGTACGCCACATAGTTCCTCTCCAATAAAAGCGTCTAATGGTCCAACACCGATAAAAAAAGTTATGGACAAAAATAACAATCCTCAAGAAAGTGGTAAATTCAGCAATGGAAACAACGTTGGGACTGTTGTCTCATGTAAACCTGAAGTGCACGACTTGACAAGTAATTACCATGACCAGGTCTATGATGGGATGTATCTTGCTATGGAAGAGTCCGCTACAACGCGGTCGGGTCTAGAGAAAAGCACAAGCTGGGGAGATGAAATCATGCCCTCGGGGTCCTTCTATGATACACTCTATGATACACAACCGTCCATAGAAGGAGGAAGACTAGACAGTGTGAAGTCCATACAAAAGGACAACTTAGTGATGAATTCAAATCCACCAAAGATGGAAGGCAACGCAGTTGTTTCAAATCACGATGATGAAGTGATGGTTAAAAAAGATATGGCCACTCTTCCGGTTGAGGGATGCGTGACAACAGAACGTAGCAGTAGGAGTCACGCTAGTCCCAATCTTCAAGGTATGACGAGCCAAGGCGTAAAAGCCGCTCGTTATATTGGCTCAAGACAAGAAAATGATAAAAGAACAGAAACCGTGAATGGAATCCGTATTCAATCCAAACAGGGTACCGTGACCACGCCAGAAAGCGTGACCAAAGACTGGGACCAAACCCTTGACCATAAAGAAACCACAATAAAATATGACATAAACCAAAATATTGAAGAGGCACCCAAAAACCAATCAGTTCAAAATATGATCCTGGCTTATAACAGAATGTCTAATACATCAGACGCTGGGAACAGTTTGTCGAGGAGAGGCTCGACCACGAATAGAAAGAGTTGGGACGGGGTTGGAAAGCCTTCAGAGAAAGGACAAGACCAGAAGACGTCAATGGTGGAAGGGAAGAAAGGTCTGAAGAGTAACAGTGACAGCAACTTAATAGTAAGTGCTGCATCCGTAATATTTTTTGTGCCAGAGAAGTCAAAAGCCTTATGAATCCCTTGCAGGATAATTCCACAATCAAACTTTACTCTCAAGGGGGAATTGAAATTTCATAGTTTTGTCCTCTGAATCGAAAAGCTCTGAGAATTGCTGCAAGAAGTTTATATCTGGTTTCGGTGTAATCATTTAATTAATTTAAAGCGACTTCATTCTCTTTAGTATTATTCTTTACCTCAGCCATTAGGAAGGTATTTCATGTAGATGGAACAAAATGAATTTTAGTCTCCTATGAGAATATAGGTAAACATTATGTCCTAATTAAGTGAATCTAATAGCATCAGTGCACCGACTCTAGGTACCACTTTTTAGAACCTTTTTAAAGGACAACTGACCCTCCAAAATGACCCATTTTTAAGAGGAACTACATCATTTGAGAAGTCCAAAAATCCAGTTTTTAAAGGGGATAGAGCATCCATTTTT